TCTTCTCTGAATTGACAAAGGCTAAAGGTTAAATATATGGCATGAGACTTTGCAAAGTGAACCTTTACCCAGATTGTTCATATTATAGCCCTGGGGTCATAATTGGTTTTGCCCCGGGTGTCATTGATTTTCATTATGTACATAAGCTACAGCTTAGATATTTGACTTGAAATGTTGTTTGGTGGACTGTATCAAGATTGTTTTGAATTAAACCCTTGGGTCCAAAATTTTGCCTTGCCCAATGGGACAGTGACCTACTTTCTTGTCCTTTGATGTACAGCGATGAAATTTTGACCATGTGCACAGTTTTAGTTGTAAAATTGAACTTTGATATCAGGTGACCTAGATTTTGATGATGTGACCTACTTTCTTGTCGTTTGATGTACAGCTATGAAATTTGAACCATGTGCACAGATTAAATCATTAAGATGTAAAGTGAACTTTGATTTCAGCTGACCTAGATTTTGACAAAGTGTCTTACTGTGTTGTCCTTTGATGTAGTCATGAAATTTAGGCTGTGTGAAATATGACCTTCACCACCAAATTCACTAGACTCGAGTGCATTGATATATTCCTACTCCGATCTTTTCTTGAGTTAACAACAGATTTAACCACTAATCTCATAATAAGAATAAGATTGGTCAGGGATCTATGCATTATGACAATCTTCAAAATTGTATAGAAACAAAAAAATCTGTTCCTACACTACTATTTAGTGTTGTATTAATGCGGTGGCATAGCATTTTTCTCAAATGCAATCTTGTTTTGTATAGGGTAAAGCAATGCCAAAGAAACATCTTTCATTTTTAACCTGGATTTGAAAAATCTTCATTTTTTTTTGCCAATAGCTTTTATTGAAAGTACAAAGTTATGTTAATTCAATTACTCCCAAATTTTACAACAGTTTTTCATAGATAAAAATTAAATAAATTAGCAAAGATTTTATACAACATCTAGCCAAACTTAAATACCTTTGATAATGTAATTTTCTCATCAATCACATATACATTATGCATATAAAAAAGAGTGTTTGCTTGTTTATTTTTTATTTTGATAAGTTTTGTTGTTGTCAACGTTTTGTCAAAAAGAAAATACATGTATATACATGTATTTCTGTAACAAGGTAATGTAACTTCAAATATTTTTGCTTCTATGATAAAGTTGCAAAAAAACAGTGTTGGACTAGAATAGCTTTTATATGAAAATAAAATGATTTGAAGTGTTCTGTACATTATGTTCACCAGGCTATATATTAAGCTATATATTTTCTGCATCAGGTTAGTCATGGTTTTGGAGTATATCTTTAGCCTCATACATGCAAAAGATGTAGGATCAGGATTTTATATGAACAAATTTCAGATAATTTCTTTAAAAAGGTCATCCAAACTTTGACTTTGTTCTCAAAATTAATGATCCTTAATTAATGATCCATAAATAATCATAATTTTTATCCAAATATTTTTGTATTTCAAATTTTTCTTGGAAATTTACAATAAGTATATTAACATGCAAATTAGAAATTCAGAATGTATCATATAAGCAAGCTGGGGTAAGATTTTTTAACAGCCCCACAGTATTTCAATGATCTTTACATGGTTTTATGAATATTTATCAATATAATTTTTGGTAATGTCAACATAAATACAATTTAAACACTACGTTTACCAATTGATTTAATCAACTGTGTGTCAAGGGGACGCCAACATAAGACTGCCTGTCTAGTATGTAGTTGCTTGTTTTGTTTTATATTATGTCCCATCTTGGAATGAGGTATTCAAATTTCATACTTTTGTTGTCAGAAAATAAAAACATCTTGCATATTCAACATCTCTCATTGGTTAGAAATTAATTGAAATTAATTATAAATAGAATACATAGTAAAATGAAGTGCTATTTGAGGTAATACAGTATATGAATTTGATGTTGTTGAAGTGTCATTGTTTAATTTCATAATTCTCATGTTTGTTTATTTTAGTTGTACAATATGTTATCAAGTGTGCTTGTGTGACAAACTAAATATTGCATGGAAGGGTTAGAGAAATTGTGCATTCATGTATACTGTTTGAATTTAATATGACAATAAAGTGGTATTAACTTAAAACACACTTGTTTGTTCTCATTATTTCAGATTCTTTGCAAGTTTCAAACAAATTAGTGATAATGGATAGAAAGAAAAACAGGCAAGTTTTATCATTGATTAGAAGATCAGGCACAAAAAAAGTTTTGATTACCAAGTAGTCTGCGATGGATATTCTTGCATAAAAACTGCCCACACTGATATTGTGGTCACTATGTAGCTCAAATAATAACCCTTGTAATGGATGTTCCCTGTACTTTGTATATTTATTTGAGGCTGTGATCTCACTTCCTGGTTCCAATTAACACACATTTATACTTCCAATTCTATAGAGTACTCCCCTGTTAAACAATGATAATTAAGCTGCTAAGCAGGCAAGTATTTTATATATGATAAATTAACTTTTTATCACAATACAGTTCAACCCCTTTGAACATTACTGAATGCAAACATGTGCTTCATTGGCTGTAAAAGAAAGAGTAAAAGAAATAAAAAAAATCCCGACAGACTTGTTCACACAAAAAAATGGTCAAACTTTTTATGATTACAAGAAAAAAATGTGCTATTGTTAAATTAATACTATGAAAATTATGTCCTATTTCAGCTCGATTCTTGCCACATAAGTAGTCCCAGAAATATGAATACCATAATTTTCTATTTCAAATAATGCATGGTGAGGCGATTGAATTACAGTAACATTTTTGTTTCCAAAAAAGACTTCCTCTAAATGCAAAGATAACTGTATATTATACCTTTGAACATTTTACAAAGATACAAACATATATTTATTCTTCTCAGATGTTTTTTCAAAAGAGCAAATATTAAGAGATTATAATAGCATTTAGACTAGCATCATATCACTGTTGTCTGAAGGTGTACAAGTAAAACAGAAACTGGTTTTATTTTTTTGTTTTATTTCTTTAATGTAACAATAACACAATGCATTAACTTATGTTGTAACTGTGCAATACCTTTGGAAAACATGACTGAAATGTTATAAGTTCCCCAATGTTTGTGCTAGATAAGTCAACAAACATATTTATAGTTATAAGATAACAAATGGCATTCTGTAGTCTGTAAATAAGCAATTACCCACTTAATGTATTCAGACAGCGATTTCTTTTAATCATGATCATTTTAACTTCTCAAGAAGCAAATACATTATTGAAGTGACAACTTCATTTTTCAAATAAAAATCTGGAAACAAAGTGATCCCTCGGAAGCATTAATCACAACAAAATTACAAGAGAATTGCAGACACAGTTTTATTGAGTCTGTACATGAGGGATAATGAATACGTGCAACATCCCTCACCCCCCCCCCCCCAGCACCGGCTTAAGCGGTACTCAATTCTCAACACTTAATAGTGCTGGCATCAATAAACCTCAAATAAAAGTTTTTTCTTTAAAGAGAAAGTTCACCCTGTACAATAAATACTTTTTCTTTTTAATAATTTACAACACCAGTAAGAAATTAACAAACAAGAGCACCACATACATATATGTAGTTAATGCTTATCTCTCAAGGGCAATGACTATCAATTTTGACAAATATTCTAAGTAAAATAGGGGCATAAGTCCAAACAAGAGGGCCATGATGGCCCTGAAGTCACTCACCTGTATATAGGCCCCCCAGAGCAGGGCCAGTTTAAACCCCAGGGCTTTTATTTGAACAAACTTGGTAGACACCCATTAGAAGATGTTTCATGCTAAACATCTAAGGTCTAGCTCGTTGGGTTTTTTAAAAGAAGATTTTTTAAGATTTTTCTTTACACATATATTTAAAAACAATGACATCCCTGGGGCAGGTCCAGTTTTGACCCCAGGGCTTTTATTTGAACAATCTTTGTAGACACTTACCAGAAGATGTTTCATGCTTAATATCTAAACTCTAGCTATTCAGGTTTTTTCGAAGAAGATTTTTAAGTTTTTGCTATACACATATAAGGAAAATCAATGTCCCCCGGAGTGGGGCCAATTTTGACCCCAGGGCTCTTTTTTGACAAACTTGGTAGACATCCATTAGAACATGTTTCATGCTAAATATCTTAGCTCTAGCTCTTTAAAAGAAAATTTTTAAGTTTTTACTATATTCATATAGGGAAAATCAATGACCTCCTGGGGCGGGGCCAATTTTGACCCCAGGGCTCTTATTTGAACAAACTTGGTAGACATCCATTAGAACATGTTTCATGCTAAATATCTTAGCTCTAGCTCTTTGGGTTCTTTAAAAGAAGATTTTTAAGTTTTTACTATATGCATATAGGAAAAATCAATGACCCCCTGGGGCGGGGCCAATTTTGACACCGGGGCTTTTATTTGAACAAACGTGGTAGACACTCATTAGAAGATGTTTCATGCTAAATATCTTAGCTCTAGCTCTTTGGGTTCTTTAGAAGAAGATATTTAAAGTTTTTTCTTTTGGTTGCCATAGCAACCAGAGTTCTGCATGGAATTAAATTCTTTAAACAATTTTCAAAGGTGACCACCAAAGGAACATTCCTGTGAAGTTTGGATGAAATTGGCTTAGTGGTTTATGAGGAGATGTCATTTAAAGTAAAAGTTTACGGACGGCCGGACGAAAAGCGATCACAAAGTGACAGGTGAGCTAAAAAATACAGTTTTCAGAAATATGCCCCTTGTCCAACAACTGCACCTTGTCATGGTAAGCAAATATTATATTCCAATTTATGTGGATAACTTTTAAAAAATGTTTATGCAGGATGATGACATAGAAGACTAAGCTTTCATAATAGCTAGACAATATCTTTGAAACAGGCGAAAATCAGTGTCATTATTACTAGGACATTTCTTTTAGTAAAAAGGAGATATATAATTATATATGTACATCATGTATCATGTATGATTTATGTTATATATATAATGTTTATTTTTGTCAAGAAAGCTCTAGTTAAATACATGTAATATACTAGTACGCACATTAAGTATTGAATAAGAACAACAAACGATACATGTTTCTCAGTTTTTAAACAAAATCTAATACTGAGTAACACAAATAATAATTTCTTTATCACAGACACAATATACAGAGAGATATAATAATCAATTTGTTTTTGCTGATAAAAGGTGTAAGCATAGAATAACAGCAAAACTGGTAATATGACCATGCCAACCTTGAAGGCCATGTAATTATGGTGCATTTTCTATCCAGCTTTATTTGCCATCCTATAAAAACTCTGTATTTCTTAAAAATAATGTGTGTTAATTTTCATAGAAGAACAAAATTCGATACTATATCAAATTCCGTTCATAGTCGCCTTCTATTTTTCATAATACTTCATAGAACTGTGTTTGTAATAGTTGTGAGGTAATAAAGGACAAATAAAGCTTGACACTAAGTATGTTAGTATTCATCTGTAGCTGTTATAAAGAAATTAGAAACATTCCCCTGCCGTCGATCCCTTAGAAGTTTCTGATTTCTATAGAACAACACGGATAAACCCAAACATATACTAAGTAATTGTGAAAAGCAGCATGGGTATATCATAAATAGGTAAACAGTCCAATTCCGGTACAAATTCACTCATGATTTTATAAAATAAACAGTTTATACTTAAAAATATTAAATTAGTTGTTTGTGTTCTGCTTGTGACAGTATTTCAATCTCCTACAATTGGGTGGTTAAGATAATATCATTCATGGATTCTATACCTTTACAAACAACTTTTCTGTTCATTTGGTTACGTTAGTAACAAATAAAAGTGTTAGTTAAGACATAATTTACATCTTTTATCATAATTAATAAATTTTATTGAAAACAAAATATGTGCACTATTTTGGATGCAAAAACATTCACCAAAATTGTGTGACATATTGCTGTAATAAACAGCCTTACAGGCTACAATAATTAAATGAATCTTATTAAATGAACACTATGGCACTAAGATGGACTAGAAACCCTTGCATGCAGGGCCAGAAAAATCTGATTTTCCTCACTTGTCATTTCTTATCTTGTCTGTATGTTATTTTTACAGTTAATTCTGGAAAAAAAATCATTTGTCTATATATAGACTGTGAAATAACCTGGGCAAACATACAGGCAATTGATTATGCTGCTCCTGGCTTGAAGCTTAAAGGTTATGGCAGGTGACATCAAAGCTAAATACTAACATCAATTAGCTTATTTCTGAAAGCTAAATGTAAATGTATATCAAATACAAATATTGATATATCTTCAATTGTAAACAGCATTAACACAAGCTTGTAAAGTTGATATTGATGAACCCTTGTAGCCGCCTCCAAAATGATTCCTGAAATATACAAAAAGAAACAGTAATTAGCTCTAGTGGTTTAAAAATGACAGAGAAAACACCTGTAATTTGTTAATTATGTGTCAATGTGAACACTTAATTTCTAGTGTACATGTGTAATTTGTTTTATTATCAAAAAATTCTCGCAGTATGTTTCTCAAACATTTTCAGTTTATTTTATGCATACATTGAATAGGCAAACAATTTTAAGGTGACAAAGGCTTAGAAATAAAAATCATTGTTGTAATCATGTTTTGCTCATTTCTCATTGCGCCCCATTAAAGCAAAAAGGTACCAAGTGACATTTTCATGTTTTCGAGAAAATCGCGTTTAAAGATTTGAAGTTCCATATCAAATCAGGTTTTTACAACATGGCAAAGAAACTTCACATATATTTAGATAATGTTTGAATGTACATGCTCAAAAAGTTGGAAAGCTTATATATTACTAATTAGTGATAATTAATCAATTAAAGGAAATGGTTCCTTTTTGCACTAATAAATATTTTGACCGACAAAAGCAAGAAGGTACCATATGATCGCTTGGCCCCTTTTTGCATTGTATGATTTTTAACATTTGCTGTCGAATATATCAAAAAAGGTACCATATGGCAGTTGGCACCTTTTTGTCCAAACAATATTAACAACAAGAGCTGTCGGTAGGACAGCAACGCTCGACTATTCTTAGTGCTTGATAGTAAAAAAAATGCTTGATACAGTCACCTCCTCCTGTTTACTGGTTGGGGTCATGATGGTGAACAAGTGTGCACAGTTTCAAAGCCATATGTCAATGGACTTTGAAAATATTTGAACTATTACAAAAACTTTAACGTAAATTCTAAGTCGAAAAAGGGCCATAATTCTGTCAAAATGCTTGATAGAGTTACCTCCTCCTGTTTACAGGTTGGGGTCATGATGTTGAACAAGTGTGCAAAGTTTCAAAGCCATATGTCAATGGACTTTGAAAATATTTGAACTATTACAAAAACTTTAACGTAAATTCTAAGTCGAAAAGGGGGCATAATTCTGTCAAAATGCTTGATAGAGTTACCTCCTCTTGTCTACAGGTTGGGGTCATGATGGTGAACAAGTGTGCAAAGTTTCAAAGCCATATGTCAATGGACTTTGAAAATATTTGAACTATTACAAAAACTTTAATGTAAATTCTAAGTCGAAAAAGGGGCATAATTCTGTCAAAATGCTTGATAGAGTTACCTCCTCCTGTCTACAGGTTGGGGTCATGATGGTGAACAAGTGTGCAAAGTTTCAAAGCCATATGTCTATGGACTTTGAAAATATTTGAACTATTACAAAAACTTTAACATAAGTGGTTACGCCGACGCCGACGCTCGGGTTACTGCAATAGCTCTACTTATTCTTATCGAATAGTCGAGCTAAAAAGCATCATTTGGTTACAATTTTATTCTACAATGATACAAATAATAATATGAAATTCTTGTGTTTTCAGTAAATATCTGATACAACTATCACACTGCATGTTTTGAAAGTCTTCCTCTGTGATCAATCTCAATGCCTATGTCAAAATCTCTTACATTGTTAGTCAAAATCAGAATCATTCTCATCCGATTCCATTGTGACATAATCCTTTTCTTTCCTTTATGTTGGTTAAGTGGCATTATAATTATGGAACTCTTTTTGGATAATTTTCTTTGCACACAAAGTAACCAAGTCATTTTTCTTTTGAATAGAAACTGGATGTTTGGTATCATAACTTCATATATTGTTCACCATTTGTCCACTAATACTTTAGATTCTGTATTCTAAACTTCTATTTCCATAAAATCTTCAGCATTGTAGCTCTAATTTACAAATACTGACTTTGGGCTTTCCTTTGGTATCTGTATCCATTCCACCTGTAGCCAGTTTACTCTTTGTCCGTCAATGGATGTTTTGAGTCTCAGACACTGTTTTTTAATGAAGTATTTGGAATCAAAAACATGGTTATATTTCATTGACACAGCAACGTATGGCTGTGATTTTCTGGCCAGTGATATAAGAGAACACAATTGAATGATACATAATTATACAGGAATGTTTTTCTTTGCCCCTTCAAGAGTCAAGTTGTCACTCCATCTGTGAGTGACCCGATACAAGAAATTTGTGATCAATCTTAAACTTGGAACTTGTAATAATATAAAAGAAGAGACGCAGCTATGAATCAATTTCTGTTTTGTCCCCCGTATGAATCTGAAAAATATATGACTTATTTGACATAACCACTTTGGCAAGTAGAAAAGGGTTTTTTATTAAACAGGAAGCTATTTCACCTCTCTTTGCAGTTGGTTTTATCCCATACATGAATGCAACATTTTTGTCTCATAAGGAATATACTGTCAAGTTGTGTAGCAACAGAGTTTTCTTAAATAGTAAAGCTCACTCGCTAATGAGCAAGGGGTTGCTACAACGGCCTTGAGATCAAAACATGCAACAGAAACGCTTGTTCACCTTTTGCTCCAACTTTATTTTAAATCTTTTCTTCTTGTGAATTTTCTTTCTGTTTTTAATGTTCAATATATTGTTCCTTGATCGTGCCATCTAGTGTGCCTACTGCCTTCCTATATGTATGTTGCTTAACAGGTTTTATTTCCTTCTTTTCACTTTCAATAGTTTACAGTATCCACATTTTGTTAATGTTTAAGTCATAGTCATGAGATAGGTATTGTTTCTTTCAGTTTTTTCTTGTATAATGAGATTTCATTTTAGGAAATTACTCTTTATGCTGTTTCACCAATTTAACTATATCATAATCTAGTTTATTTGCAGATGTACGCTTCCCTGTCATGCTTCTCCTTCCCTATACCCCATGTATCTTGTTGGCAAGAGTTACTTTTCTTTTTATATCCACAGTTTTGTGAAGAAGTCATTTATACACTATCATTATCTTCACACTGTTATCATTCCTCAATTTAAAACAGAAACAATACTCTGGGATTTATTGTTATATTTGATGTCCTTAGCAATATCTAGATTGTGTATTCATTAAAAAGCTAAAAGGTACCAAGCAAACATTTTGATATATAAAATAATCTTAAGGGTCGTAAATTCTTTGTGTGCAGAAAGGGACCGTGTGACACATGGTTCCTTTTTGCATTAAAATAAATGCTCAAAACTTGTAAAGTCATACAATGCAATAAGGTACTAATGTGACGCTTGGTACCTTTTTGCTCAAACTGATATGCATATGGTACCTTTTTGCATTACTAAATGGGAAAATATTGACATTGTACCTTTTTACATAACCTTATATATCTGTAAATAAACATGATACTACAGAGATATTTCTACAGATTAAAGATAACATTAAAAAATAATGAAAAATGTTAAAAAGTCATTTTTGGCCAAAATGTCGCTTGGTACCTTTTTGCTTTAATGGGGCGATTGTCAAGTTGAGCTGAATTGACTTTATATTTCAAAAGATTGACTGTTACAATGTTGATTGACCAACAGTTGCTATTGGAAATTTTTTAAGAATAAAATATAAATCTGCCTTAAATATAAAAGACTTTCCCACTTTTTTTTTACAGGCAAATATAAAAATTTCCTTGGGCCATGTGAAATATTTATCGCTCATACAAAGTAAATTATGAAATTGAAAGGAATTTTGGTATAAATAGTAACTTAATTTTCACCTGTTCACTCACTATATAACATTGGATGGGCACAATGTCACTAAGATTTAATTCATTTATCATTTTTAACAGGGCACCATTGAAAATGCTATGCTAAGTTTTTAAATTTTAAAATTTCTTTCACATGCCAGTGTCGCGGTTAACCTTGACAATTATACATGGAAAATTAGCTGCACAAATGTGCAATCTAGCCTAGTTCCATCCATATGGTAAAGACCAGTTATTTTTGCCAGCAGTGTTCATAGTTAACAGGCAAGTGTAATGTTATTTTAAGCACGCTGGCAGTTACATAATCTAGTCATGCAACCAGTACAAATCAAGATTGTCTGGCACATCAATGGCATCTGATCAAGGTTTGCACTGTTAGTTATTTTCATGAAAAAGATAAATGTCCTTGTTCAGATTTATAAAAGATGAAGAAGTCTATTTAAGTTTAACATATGGTACAGTGTAAGGGTTAATGACCCTTCTATGGCACATCAGTATAATGTATTATCATACAGGAAAACATTCTTATATTTAATTGCATTTGGTGGTGTTATATTTTGATATATAAATGTCAGAAACAAGATTAAATCAAGGTCACTGACAAACTAACTTAATAAAATGTTTGCTTACCAATGATTTAAATAATGAAAAGCTTTGTAAAGTTCTTTTCTCTTCTGAAATCCTGGTGCCTTTGGTATAACGTCATGGTATGCACCATAAAATTTAGAGTTGAAACCTCCAAACAAATAACTGATACCAAGGTCATATTCAGAGTGACCATAGAAACTTGCAGGGTCAAATATTACTGAAAAATGCACACACAAAAATTGTTTATAATGCTACACTCAGGTACAGAAATATGTCTCTGAATTTTAAAAGGACAGCCTAACACACACAACCAATTTATGCAAACTTTGAGAAAAGTTTCTTTTCCCTCATGATTGAAGTAATTTGCTTAAATAAGACAAATCTATAATATTTCTGTTTATTTACTGACTCAAAAGCTATCATTAAAAGCACATGCATATAAATCTGTTGTGAAGTTTTGGAACCTTGAGCTATTAATGTAATTCCTATAGTATAATAATGGAGGTGCTAGTGCTATGCTTAACATGACTTTAACTCATACCAAGGGTCATGGGTTTGAGCCTTACTGAGTCCACTATCACATTTTCTCATGACACCAGCACTGGTTAGTCAAGAAAGCAAACTGATACAGCTTATTTCGTAACATTATTTTAAATAAGACTAGTATGTATAATTTGTTAAACAAGAGCCTGGTTTGAGCCGGGTGATCTCCCCGAATAGGTTTTGGACACAGTAAAGTACACCTCTTGTAGTTTCATAGTTATGTCCCTAGGTGCAATAATTCCAAAATAAGGCAAGGCAGAGTTACTGTTCTTTGCACTGCACTTCTAATCAATGCGATCTATCAACCTACAAAGTTTATTGTTGATACCTCTTATGGTTTCCGAGTTATGTCCCGGACAAAGTTCAAAATGTAAAAATGAACAAAGGGTAATAACTACAAAATTTGGCAAGGCGGGGTTCAAGTTCTTGTGCACTGCACATCAACCCATTGAAATCCATCTACCTACAAAGTTATAATTTCTCTTGTAGTTTTAGAGTTATTTCCCTGACAAGACTTTTTTAAAAGAGAGATAATTTAAAAATTGGGCAAAAACAGAGTTATGGTTTTTTTGTACTGCACTTTTACTCAATGAGATCTATCTACCAACAAAGTTTCATGTTGATATCTTTTATAATTTTAGAGTAATGTCCCAGACAAAGTACAAAAAGGTAAAATAAACAAAGGGCAATATCTCCAAAATAAGGCAATGCAGACAAGATTTTTCTAAAAGGGGAGATAATTCAAAAATGAGGCTTAACAGAGTTAAACAAATAATGGTTCTTTTGCACTGCACTTCTACTCAATCAGATCTATCTACCTACAATGTTTCATCTTAATATCTCTAATAGTTTTAAAGTTATGTTCCAGACAAAGTTCAAAGTGTTAAAATTAACAAAGGGCAATAACTCTTAAATAAGGCAAAAAAGTGTTATAGTTCTTGTTCACTGCACATCTACCCATTGAGATCTATTTACCTACAAAGTTTCATGTTGATATCTCTTATAGTTTAAGAGTTATGTCCCGCACAAGATTTTTCTAAAAGGGGAGATAATTCAAAAACCAGGTAAAATAGAGTTATGGTTCTTTCACACTGCACTCCCCCTCAATGCCCTCTACCACTGTATGAAGTTTAAACAAATTATCTCCAAGGGTTTTCAAGTTATGCTCCGGACAAGACAACAGATGGACGGACAAGGTGGCGACTTTATGCTCCGACTATATGCTCTTCCTTCGGGGAGCATAAAAAGCTCTTACTGTTTAATATTACATTGCTATTACAGATGTTAATTGGACTTGCAAGGCTGACTGGTTCAAGTAGCCAACTTTAAATCACTTGTCCTTCAATGCTGATGGTTCGAATCCCTCCAGGGACTTTGAATCCTTTCATGTAAGGAAACTATCTAGCTACCTTATGAAAGGATGTTTAATTTATTCAAGTACCCACATGTACCTGAAATAATGCACAAAGAAGTACTTGTAAAGTTAAGTTTGATATTATTTTACAATGTTTGTGTGACTTTTGCTTGTTTGTTTGATTAAATTTTACTACACAGCGACACAGTATAGTTAATTACAATGGCGACGTTCCAGTATTACTGGAGGAGAAAGACCTCGGGTTTCCTTCTAAACATTATTTCAAGTACAAACGGACACCTGAGTAGAACCACTGGCATTCCATAAGCTAGCTGGATAGCTTCCTCACATGAAAGAATCCAATGTCCCTACAGGATTTGAAGAGTGACTTAAAACCAAACTATGCAAACACATTACAGCTCATGGAAAAATGTAACTTACAATACAACAGTACTGTACCACTTACCAGGGCCTTCATCATTTTCACTGGCATTACCTCCCCATAAATCACCATGTACTATTGCTGGTTTAATGTCAAGTCCTTCAAAAAAGTTCGGAAATTTAACAAGAATTTTGTTCCATAATTCCCTAGCTTTTCTGTCTCCTTCCTGAAATTACAATCAAGTACACATGTCTCATTAGGGATTGCATTACAGTATCGCCATTGCTACAGCTGTCATTGATTCTGAGTGCAAAGCATATCGACAATATTTCAATATTGAATGAGTAATATAAAACCTGTTTAAATGATTGCAACAAAACACATATTCTTTTCATACATTATGTGTCTTTGCATGATTTGTTTTCTAAATATTTTTTCTTGTACTTCTATAATTATGAAATATGTCCATTATGTAATGACAGCCTAATTTTTTCCAAATGCGCATCAATTATTGATCAACAGATGAGGTTATGGTTAAGTTAAAGTTGAAAAAAAATTTAATAGCAAATAAATCCATGCAGCAGAATGGTCTTACCTGTATGATCTATAAAGGTAAAATAATCAAAAAGTTGTTTTTTAACCATAAATTTCAAAATATATACATGTACTGCCTATCATAGAAAACAGTGCTGACAATGTGCAGGCTGATCTTGGTCTGCACTGCTTGCACGGGTACATGCAAATTGCTGGTTTCCACAAGCAGGCTTAGGGGTAATGGAGAAAGAATACAAAATAATTATCAACTTACCTTTGTTTCAATCATTGATATCTGTTTTTCTATTTTAGCAGCATAGAATGACTAAAATGTAAGAAATTGAAATCTATTAAAAACAAGAGGGCCATGATGGCCCTGAGGACGCTCACCTGTATATAGACCCCCCCCCCCCCCCCCCCCCGGCCCAATTTTTACCCAAGGGCTTTTATTTGAACAGACTTGGTAGACACCCATAAGAAGATGTTTCATGCAAAACATCTAAGTTCTAGCTCATTGGGTTTTTTTAAAAGAAGATTTTTTAAGTTTTTACTATACACATATAGTTAAAAACAATGACACCCCTCGGGCAGGGCCAGTTTTGACCCCTGGGCTTTTATTTGAACAAACATTGTAGATATTTACTTAAAGATGTTTCATGCTTAATATCTAAACTCTAGTTATTTGGGTTTTTTCAAAGAAGATTTTTAAGTTTTTGCTATGTATATAAGGAAAATCAATGACCCCCGGGGCAGGGCCAGTTTTGACCCCAGGGCTTTTATTTGAACATACTTGGTAGACACCCATTAGAACATGTCTCTTGCTAAATATCTTAGCTCTAGCTCTTTGGGTTCTTTAAAAGAAGATTTTATAAGTTTTTACTATATGCATATAAGGAAAATCAATGACCCCCTGGGGCGGGGCCAATTTGGACCCCAGGGCTTTTATTTGAACAAACTTGGTAGACATTCACTAGAAGATGTTTCATGCCAAATATCTAAGTTCTAGCTCTTACAGTTCTTTAAAAGAAGATTTTTTAAGTTTTTACTATATGCATATAGGGAAAATCAATGACCCCCTGGGGCCGGGCCAATTTTGACCCCAGGGCTTTTATTTGAACAAACTTGGTAGACATTTACTAGAAGATGTTTTATGCCAAATATCTAAGCTCTAGCTCTTACGGTTCTTTAAAAGAAGATTTTTTAAGTTTTTACTATATGCATACAGGGAAAATCAATTACCCCCCAGGGCGGGGCCAATTTTGACCCCAGGGCTTTTATTTGAACAAACTTGGTAGACATTCACTAAAAGATGTTTCATGCCAAATATCTAAGCTCTAGCTCTTTGGGTTCTTTAAAAGAAGATTTTTTAAGTTTTTACTTTATGCATATAGGGAAAATCAATGACCCCCTGGGGCGGGGCCAATTTTGACCCCAGGGCTTTTATTTGAACAAACTTGGTAGACATTCACTAGAAGATGTTTCATGCCAAATATCTAAGCTCTAGCTCTTACAGTTCTTTAAAAGAAGATTTTTTAAGTGTTTTACTATATGCATATAGGGAAAATCAATGACCCCCCGGGGCGGGGCCAATTTTGACCCCAGGGCTTTTATTTGAACAAACTTGGTAGACACTCACTAGAAGATGTTCCATGCCAAATATCTTAGCTCTAGCTCTTACAGTTCTTTAAAAGAAGATTTTTTAAGTTTTTACTATATGCATATAGGGAAAATCAATGACCCCCCGGGGCGGGGCCAATTTTGACCCCAGGGCTTTTATTTGAACAAACTTGGTAGACACTCATTAGAAGATGTTTCATGCCAAATATCTAAGCTCTAGCTCTTAGGGTTGTTTAAAAGAAGATATTTAAAGATTTTTCTTTCGGTTGCCATGGCAACCAGAGTTCTGCATGGAATTAAATTCTTTGAACAATTTTTAAAGGTGACCACCAAAGGAACATTCCTGTGAAGTTTGGATGAAATTGGCTCAGTGGTTTATGAGGAGATGTCATTTAAAGCAAAAATTAACGGACGGACGACGGACGGACGACGGACGGACGGACGGACGGACGCCGGACGAAAAGCGATCACAAAAGCTCACCCTGTCACTTTGTGACAGGTGAGCTAAAAATTTCAATTAACTTGCACATACTTCAAGTTCTTTACTTAAATCAATATAACCTCTAGTAACTGTAAGAACTTTAATTTTCATATGTGGTCTTTAAATCAAAGATGATCTTTTACCAAAGTAGTATTTTATCAATAGAAATACATGTACAATTATTGCTAAATTTTTCACTAATTTAAGGGTATTTTATAAATAGGCTATGACAAACACTATATTCAGTAATGACTGATATATGTAATATACATAATTATGTAAATAATAGTTACAAATGTAAGTCCATTTATTGGGACATTATTTTAGTAGTAATGACATAATTTCATACAAGAGGGCCATGATGGCCCTGAAGTCGCTCACCTGTACATAGGCCCCCGGAGCGGGGCCAGTTTGAAGCCCGGGGCTTTTATTTGAACAAACTTGGTAGACAACCATTAGAAGATGTTTCATGCTAAACATCTAAGGTCTAGCTCGTTGGGATTTTTAAAAGACGATTTTTTTAAGTTTTTTCTTTACACATATAGTTAAAAACAATGACACACCTGGGCAGGGCCAGTTTTGACCCCAGGGCTTTTATTTGAACAATCTTTGGAGACACTTACTAGAAAATGTTTCATGCATAATATCTAAACTCAAGCTATTTGGGTTTTTTCAAAGAAGATTTTTAAGTTTTTGCTATACTCGTATAAGGAAAATCAATGTCCCCCGGGGCGGGGCCAATTTTGACTCCAGGGCTTTTATTTGAACAAACTTTGAAGACACTCACTAGAAGATGCTTCGTGCTTAATATCTAAACTCTAGCTATTTGAGTTTTTTCAAAGAAGATTTTTCAATTTTTGCTATAGTTTTACACATATAGGGAAAATGAATGACCTCCGGGTGGGGCCAATTTTGACCCCAGGCTTTTATTTGAACAAACTTTGTAGACAATCACTAGAATATGTTTCATGCTTAATATTTAAACTCTAGCTATTTGGTTTTTTCCAAATAAGATTTTTTAAGTTTTTCCTATACACATATAAGGAAATTTGGAAAATCAATGACCCCCAGGGCCGGGCCAATTTTGACCCCAGGGCTCTTATTTGAACAAACTTGGTAGACATCCATTAGAAGATGTTTCATGCTAAATATCTTAGCTCTAGCTCTTTTGGTTCTTTATAAGAAGATTTTTAAGTTTTTACTATATGCATATCAGGAAAATCAATGACGCCCTGGGGCGGGGCCAATTTTGACCCCAGGGCTTTTATTTGAACAAACTTGGTAGACACCCATTAGAAGATGTGTCATGCTAAATATCTTAGCTCTTGCTCTTTGGGTTCTTTAAAAGAAGATTTTTTAAGTTTTTACTATATGTATATATGGAAAATCAATGACCTCCTGGGGTGGGGCCAACTTTGACCCCAGGGCTTTTATTTGAAAAAACTTGGTAGACATCCATTAGAAGATGTTTCATGCTAAATATCTTAGCTCTAGCTCTTTTGGTTCTTTAAAAGAAGATTTTTTTTAAGTTTTTACTATATGTATATAGAGAAAATCAATGACCCCCTGGGGTGGGGCCAATTTTGACCCCAGGGCTTTTATTTGAAGAAACTTGGTAGACATCCATTAGAAGATGTTTTATGCTAAATATCTAAGGTCTAGCTCTTTTGGTTCTTTAAAAGAAGATTTTTTAAGTTTTTACTATTTGCATATAGGGAAAATCAATGACCCCTGGGGCGGGGCCAATTTTGACCCCAGGGCTTTTATTTGAACAAACTTGGTAGACACCCATTAGAAGATGTTTCATGCTAAATATCTTAGCTCTAGCTCTTTGAGTTCTTTAAAAGAAGATTTTTTAAGTTTTTACTATATGCATATAGGGAAATCAATGACCCCCAGGGGCGGGGCCAATTTTGACCCCAGGGCTTTTATTTGAACAAACTTGGTAGACACTCACCAGAAGATGTTTCATGCCAAAAATCTAAGCTCTAGCTCTTTGGGTTTTCTAGAAGAAGATATTTTAAGTTTTTTATTTTGGTTGCCATGACAACCAGAGTTCTGCATGGAATTCAATTCTTTGAACAATTTTCAAAGGTGACCACCAAAGTAACATTCCTGTGAAGTTTGGATGAAATTGGCTTAGTGGTTTATGAGGAGATGTCATTTAAAGTAAAAGTTTACGGACGACGGACGGACGCCGGACGGACGCCGGACGAAAAGCGATCACAAAAGCTCACCCTGTCACTTTGTGACAGGTGAGCTAATAAATCATATAAGTTTTTTTACTTGTACTGCTTTGCCTTTCAACAAAACCCACTTAGATCACTTTTAGAGAGAAATAAAAAAGTTTCATTCAGAAATAAAGAATCTAAAATGGGTTTGTCCATCCTTCAATCTGGACAAAGCCATTCATCATTTTTTGGGGACAAATTTCAAAATACATGTACATACTGACTGAATTGTGAATAACAAAGACCATGATCAGACATTATGCTGACTGATACTGGTATGTACTGGTTAAACTGGGTAGAATATGCTGCTGCCAATTGGCTAATGGTTTAGATGAAAATTTAACACATACATACTGGCCAATCATCCTTCCATGTGTTATCCATAGCTATGTACCCACAACATGTGTTTACATGAAATCCAAACTTGCTCACATATTCTTCAGCTGACTCGTCTCTATGTACACTACCTTCAGATTTCTTTTCCTTCTTCTCCAGTGTCACATTGTGTAAATGTAACCTACGTTGTATAATAATGTATTATACAACAATGACAACTTGAGAGTGAAAACACTGATACAAATATAATTAGCACATCATAAAGATATTCATATTTCTTACCATCTAATCAGTCTTTTAAAGAAAGTGGAGAATTTTTGGACAATAACAGTACATTAAGAGAACAGTTATTGTCCAAATATTTTTCCAATTTCCTTAAAAGACGGGTTTCACTGTAACAAATGCTCTTAATAAAATTTTGTAGAAACAGAGAAATAAATAGCATGATTGTATTTAGTGAAAGATGTTCTGATTCAGAATTTCAGAATTGAGATATTGCTGCCTGCATCAGACATCCAAAGATTTTATTCTGAGTAACATCATAAAGAATAGAAATAAAGTTCAACATACTTTGCCAGCTGCTGGCCGAGTAAAGCAGAATATTTTGACAGGCCTCCACCAAACTGAATGTATTCCATCACTAAAGCTGCTCCACCTCCTGGCTGATCTACAACCTTTAACAAAGAAATAACAGACCTACAATCTTCAACAAAAAAATAAAGAGACCTACAACTTTTAGATAAAAAGATATGTTTTAAATCAATTATTGGAATTTTTTTGCACAACAAATGTCCCTACCCCATAAAGTAATAGTAAAGATGGTAAATTGCTCACTAAGAATCACTGGGGACAACTTGCTAAGAGTCAATGAAACTACTTATTGATAAACTAAATGTAAACAAGTCAACAGGAAATGATGGAATTGGGCCGCGTATTCTTAAAGCCTGTGGTGACTATTTAAGCATAGCTATAGCTTCTATAATAAATAATTCCATTAGAAATGGCATTTTTCCTGATAAACTGAAAGAAGCATATGTACTTCCAATTTACAAAAATGGACCAAAAGAAGATCCAAATAATTATAGACCTATTTCAATTTTGCCAACCATATCAAAAATTTTTGAAAAGCATATTGCATCACAATTACATAGTTATATATACGAAACTAATATTATTCATGAAAGTCAGTCGGGTTTCAGAAAAAACCATTCTTGTCAAACAGCTCTAATACGACTCATAGAATCCTTCCTTAACGATTTAGATGAGGGCTGTTTGATAGGCACAGTATTTTTAGACCTAAAGAAGGCATTTGATTTGGTAGATCACAACATATTGTTGCATAAGTTAAAATTGTACACATTTTCAAACACCTCAATTAAACTCTTCAAATCATATCTTGAAAATAGAACACAGTTTATCAAATATGGAAATAGTCATTCAAATAGTGGAACAGTGAAATCAGGGGTCCCTCAAGGGTCTATATTAGGCCCTTTACTTTTCATTTTCTACGTTAATGATATGCCATTTAGTACAACACACTCTAACATAGACATGTATGCTGACGATACTACTATGCATGCATCAAATAAAAAAATTGAAGTGATTCAGAGAACTCTGCAATGTGATGTTGATATGGTGTAAATTAAACAACATGGCAATAAATCCGAAAGAGACCACTTGTATGATAATAGGGTCAGAAAATAAATTAAAATCCAAACCTTCTTTAGATATAAATATAGAAGGTACATGTCTATGTCAAACGAAATCACAGAAATTATTAGGTATTTACTTAGATGAAAACTTAAAATGGAATGTTCAAATAAAGCACGTCTGTAATAAATTACAAAAAACAAATTGCTCTCATAAAGCGTTTATCGTACTTTTTATCCACTGAAACGAAATAAATGTGTTATAATGCCTATATTTTACCTTGTTTAAATTATTGTTGTATTATATGGAGTACTTGTAATAAAACTGAATTTGAAAAAAGTGAATAAACTGCAGAAACACACAGCAAAGATAATATTGTGTAAACCAGTTAAAACGCCATCTTTACAGCTTTTCCTTAAATTAAACTGGTTAACTTTTGAAAATAGATGCACGTATCATACAGCATTATTAGTATTTAAATCTATACAAGGATTGACTCCTTCCTACATTTCAGATATCATAGTGTTTTCGAAAAATCAAACGTATACACTTAGATCAACTACAAATAGAAACATAATACATGTAAGATCTAATACGAAATATGTTAAAAGAACTTTTAGAAATAATGCAATGCAAGTATGGAATAATTTACCTTTATATATTAAAGAGTCTTCGTCTCTATATGCTTTTAAAAGAAATATGAAAAAATATTTGATTGATATACAATTTAAATGAATCTGATGTATGCATGTGTCTGTCAATTTGAATGGTTGTTGTTTATGTTGTTTTTAATATGTGTGTACATATTTGTGACTTTCATTATCTTGTTTAATTGAAGGCCATATTGTAAATAAGATTTGTATTTCTTAATATGTTACCTTCATGAAATAAAGTGTTTATTATTATTATTATTATTATTTACTCAATAATAATCATTTAGGGATTATTACTAAAAACAAATATAAATTTTCACTTCCTAAGAATCAATGCAAATCTTTACTCACTAAGAATAACTGTTGTTTTTTACTAACTATACATCATTATGCTGTAAACTTAACAACAGCCTGTATCAGTACATGTATATTAAATTTTACCATATAATGTTTATTATAGTAAACAGTTAATTGTATCATTAGATAGAAATAGGTGAAATCAAAATACATGTAGATAACAAATAAAATCAGTGTATTGATGCATTGGCCTATATTCTCGCTAGTATTACATATAATACATACATGTATATAATATCATCAAAACTTATAAACACTTAAAACATTTACCAGTAGAAATGACAATTACATTTTTTTATTTTTTTATAATTATTCTAAAAATGATTCTTATCATTCAGACCAAACAGTTAAATAATAACTTATAGTTTTTATTTATATATTTATATATAAAAACATTTCTCTGAAATTATGTTGACTGCTGAACATGCAAAGAGCAAATTAAAACAAGAGGGTCATGATGGCCCTGAGGTCACTCACCTGTACATAGGCCCCCCGAGCGGGGCCAGTTTAAACCCCCAGGGCTTTTATTTGAACAAACTTGGAAGACACCCATTAGAAGATGTTTCATGATGTTAAGTTTTTACTACACACATATAATGAAAAACAATAATGAACACCCCCCCCCCACGGTAAGGCCAATTTTAACCCAAGAGCTTTTATTTGAACAAACTTGGTAGACACCCATAAGAAGATGTTTCATGCTGAACATCTAAGCTCAAGCTCATTGGGTTTTTTTAAAAAGTTTTTACTATACACATATGGTTCAAAACAATGACACCCCTGGGGCGGGACCAGTTTTGACCCCAGGGCTTTCATTTAAACAACTTTGTAGACACTTATTGGAAGAAGTTTCATACTTAATAAATAATCTAACTATTTGGGATTTTTCAAAGAAGATTTTTAAGTTTTTGCTATATACACATATAAGGAAAATCAATGACCCCCGAGGCGGGGCCAATTTTGACCCCAGGGCTTTTATTTGAACAAGCTTTGTAGACACTCACTAGAAGATGTTTCATGTTTAATATCTAAACTCTAGCTATTTGGGTTTTTTCAAAGCAATTTTTTTAAGTTTTTGCTTTACACATAAAAGAAAAATCAATGACCCCCGGGGCGGGGCCAATTTTGACCCCAGGGCTTTTATTTGAACAAACTTTGAAGACACTCATTAGAAGATGTTTCATGCTAAATATCTTAGCTCTAGCTCTTTGGGTTCTTTAAAAGAAGATTTTTAAGTTTTTACTTTATGCATATTGGGAAAATCATTGACCCCCTAGGGCGGGGCCAATTTTGACCCCAGGGCTTTTATTTGAACAAACTTGGTAGACACTCACTAGAAGATGTTTCATGCCAAATATCTAAGCTCTAGCTCTAGATTTTTAAAGTTTTTTCTTTCGGTTGCCATGGCAACCAGAGTTCTGCATGGAATTAAATTCTTAGAACAATTTTTAAAAGTGACCACCAAAGGAACATTCCTGTGAAGTTTGGATGAAATTGGCTTAGTGGTTTATGAGGAGATGTCATTTAAAGTAAAAGTTTACGGACAGACTTTGTGACAGGTGAGCTAAAAAAGAAGCTTCATTTCTTCAATTCAACTAAATGAAATCATGGGTAACTTAGATGATTTATCATCTCTGGGTAAAAACAACATTTGTGAAAATTCATTATCTAGCAGTTACAGTTTGAAGATAAGAATGTTACCTTATATGGTTTTGGTACTCTGACAATGTTTGGTTTTCCAAGTGCCTCAAGACTTGCATACTCTCCTTCAAACATTGTGCGAGCCTTTACGAAATAAATATAAACAAAGTTATCATAAAACTGCATAATTCATTTTATAATTCTAAGAACAACAGTCATATTTTTTGGTTCTAATTTAGAGTGAAATTATATTTAACCTTAAGTGAAACATTAATAATTGCTTAAATAGTTAAGTTCCACTTCAGAGGATTTCGATATATATTAAAAAACTATTATTAATTTATTAATATGTCATACTGTCACAATCTATAATGTCTTATACTGACTACATTTTTTCAGACAATCCTAATATAATATAAGCCTGAAATCCTACAATAATAAACTTTTATGGGCATATAACTATGTTCTAAATATGCAACTTATTTAATATCTTCACTAAAAACATTTTTTTTTTAATGTATATAATTTTTATTATGAAGAAATTCAAACGATATATTCTAAGACAGCAACCTTTGACACTGTGCTACATAATCTATTTAACAAATTTTAAACCATTATTACTTCATATCATATCATAATTTTATATATTCATGTACTTGTTTTCAGTGTGATATAATCCAAAATCTCTAAACATAACCTTACTAACACACAAAAACATTAAAATTTTCCCTTCCCCCCCCCAAAATGAGATTTAAAAATTTTAAATTTGAAGATTTTCCATTTTTAAATCAGTGGTTATGTGGCCCCTTGATTTATACAGCCACCTCCAAAACCGCCCTACACCCCTTCTTCAACACTAAAAATTTCCAAAATTTTTCCCTTTTCAAAACAGACCCCCAATTTGATTTATCCCCCCTGTAAGATAATCATATCAAAAATTAATTTAAATCGTAAATTTTTATCAAACTTTTAAACTTTTTTTCTTAATTTTTTGGTAAGGTGCAAATTTTTGGGTATGGCAAAATGCCCTTTTTTTCCCAGCAATAAAAACAGTTAAAAACCCTTTCTTGTTAGTTGTAAAGCAAAAACTCATGACAATGCTGAAAATGGCACAGACATATACTGTCATTTGGAACAAGCTAAGAATGTCATGCAACTCCTGGACCTAAATGAAACCTAAATGGCCGTAACCTGTCCATGACTGGTAGCTGAGTGAGCATATAGGCGATTTGCTACAAAGAGAACTTTTGGATGTCTTTTCACACAAGCATAGGATAAAAGTACAACAGTAGAGGTTGCTGTAAAAATCTTTGATGAGGCAGGCCTATTCCCATTGGACATTGCTGCCATCTTTAGGTCCCTCGACTAAATTAATGACTTTCTGGGAAGACGCTGCTAAACTTTTGCCAAGTGGCAAATGCTGCTGTTAGTAAGGCTCTAAAGATATCAACCAATGACCAGACAAACAAAGAAATTGGTAAATCATTTAATCTTAAAACAGACATAATTTATACAACTTCAATGCCATTTTTAAAGATCCTGTATGTTTTGTGATTGATGATGTTACCGTGTATACTTTTTTTTTCTTTTTTTTTAATGCGTTTATTTAAGGTCGCCGCCAGAAAGCCCATATGGATGACTGTACACTCAAGTCGGCCATCCTAGAGCGTGGTGCCAAGATTTTTCGTTGATTTTTCCAGCTTTGTTGGTGGAGAAAGACCCCAGGTGCCCCTTTGGGCATTATTTCAGACACGAGCGGGCACCTGGGTAGAACAACCCACCTTCCGTAAGCCAGCTGGATGGCTTCCTCACATATAAGATTTTGACCCAAGTGAGGATCCAACTTACAGCGGTGAGGGACCTGTGATCTCAAGTCAGGGACACCTTTACCGCTCGGCCACGGAGACCCCTGTGTGTATACCACACTTGCAAAAATCTATATATGTATATAATTATGCAAATAAAACAATTTCCTGCAAATATTTTACATAAGTTTTGTAGGCAGTTTCTTCGACCTTTTTATGTGAAGTTTTGACATTTCTTTTTATAAATCTGAGTGAATTATTTGCTTTTGCTGTTATGTTATTTATGTGATTGGTCAGGATAAACCTTTACTATTATTATTGTTACGCCTAAATATTTTGCAGCCTCAGTGGATTTTAGTTGTTGACCGTGTAAATTATAGGGGAATGTTACTGGATGTTTCTTGCGGCTGATACTAAGGACTTCACATTTATCTGGGTTAAATATGCCCCAGTTAGAATACTGTTCCACGGTTTGGGTTCATTGGCAAAAATATCTGGTTTACAAAATAGAACATCTACATCTACATCAAACTGCTTTAAAATTGTTTACGACTACTTCGGCTCTCACCCTCTTGTTCAACGCCTCTTTGCAACAAGGAACAGTACCTTCAGCCTGGAAGAAGGCAAATGTATCACCTATCTTCAAAAAAGGTGGCCGTAGCAACCCCGCCAACTACAGACCCATTTCTCTCACATCAGTATGCAGCAAACTCTTAGAACACATCCTACATAGCCAAATTATGAAACGCCTTGACCATCACAACATCCTTTCAGATCAACAACATGGATTTAGAAAACAACGCTCAACTGAAAGTCAGCTTCTTCTCACTCTTCAAGACCTGTCATCAGCCTTGGATCAAGGGGAACAAGTAGACGCCATACTACTTGACTTCAATAAGGTGTTCCACGTCGTGCCTCACCAACGACTCCTTTCCAAGGTGGATCACTACGGCATCACAGGGACAGTCAGAAGCTGGACTGAGAGCTTCCTGTCTGGCCACAGACAATAAGTTGTCGTTGAAGGCCATTCATCTGCATCCTCCCCAGTTACATCCGGGGTACCCAGGGTACAGTACTAGGTCCTTTACTGTTCCCTTTACATCAACGACCTACCAAGGTGCGTGACTTCCATCAGCCGCCTATTTGCTGACGACAGCCTGATCTAACAGTAAAATCAAATCAGAAGCTGATGCATTAGCCCTCCAAGAAGACCTAGATAGACTCCAGGAATTGGAACGCAAGTGGATGATGTCTTTCAATCCAGCAAATGCGAAGTAATACACATCACCAAGAAGAAAGAAGCCCTATCATTTATGTCTACAAGGTCCAACAATCACTCTTCAAATCTGTCAAAAGTGGAAAGTACCTTGGTGTCAAACATCCAAATAAATCTTTCATGGAACATACACACAGAATCTACTATCAAGAAGGCCAACAACTCTCTATCATTCCTTAGAAGAACATCACAAGCTGCCCACAAGACTACAAGGCCCAGGCCTACAAGACCCTTTTTAGACCAATCCTGGAGTATGCAGGCCACAGTCTGGGACCGGTTCACACACGCCACCAACATCAACCAGCTGGAAAGCTGTCCAAAGGCGAGCTGCCCGATTTTGTAAAAGGTGACTACAAAACTACCAGCAACACCACTGCAATGATGAAACAGACCTAGGCTGGCCCAACCTCTACAGCATCGCCGCTGCAGGATGCCAAGCTTGTGATGGTCTACAGGATCACGCACAAACCTCATAGCCATCCCCAGCTGCACAGTACTTCCCACCTCCTGACACTTGGTGTCTATGGCTACCGGACACAGATTCCATGTCCCCCTTCTGCAGAATAGACACCATGAATTCTCCTTTGTACCTTCGGCCATCCGCCTGTGGAAACCAGCTTCCAGAGCACCTAGCCACAGCAGTCAATCTTGAGGCCTTCAAGGGAGGACTAGTCATGGGGCCCTAATATGCCGGAGTTGATTTTATTTTAACAATGTTCTTCTTTTAAATCTGCACTTTTCGCCGCACAACACATTGTAATACACCCTGCACGTCAATGCCCCAGAGTGGGTTATGTAACAGGTATTGGGGAACGAAGAAGAAAAGAAATTCCATGGACCAATCAGATTCCCAGTTTTTAAAGACTGTTTAGATCTTTTTTGGAGGGTTTTGGGTGTCCCCTTAAGGTGGACCTGGTCAGCTCTAGGCTATGTTACTTTACTAGCAAAAGTAGTGGAAGGTCAGTTAGGATATGACTTCTAATATGATTGACTATGACTGTGATTTGAGAAGTTGAGTTTTGCAGGATTTTTACAGAAATTTTTTTGATGGCTTTTTTTTTTTTTGCATAATTTCAAGCACATTGCAGGATGTAAGGACCTTGGGTGAGATCAAATTTTGTTCCTTACACATATTACATTATGTATTCTTAAATATACATGATGACAAATAACATTTATTCTATAGATTCCATGTTTTTACCTGAATATTTTCCAAACAAAATGTGTTTTGTTTTGGTTAGACAGTTAAAATTAGAATGCATCCGAAAGTAGGTTGTGCCAAACACCACTAAATGATTCTTAAATGAAAATCTATAGTAGGTTGTTACCACTTAGCCAAGCATCGCTTGACTGAAAATAGTAAGAATACCTGTATATTACACATATTTGAAATTATTTGTTGATTCAATATTGATCATCATCTTGTTGATTATGTAGACTAATGGCTGTTTTTACATTTGGCAATTTTAATTGTAATTATCACCAGTTTACGCGACATTACAAATCCTATTTGGGTGCATGTTTACTATCTATCTATCTATCTTCCATATAGTCAAACCCCTGCTGGGGACCTAGACTTGACGCGCGTCAACTGACAAGAATGTTAGTAAAAGAACTGAAATAAAAGAATATAAAAGTAATGGAAATGAGTATATTATTGTTAAAAACAGGTTAAAAATAGAGAAGGCATTTTAGGGAGACGTATGTTCAATCCGGCTTACAGCCAGACTGAACTCGGGGCCAGACAAGTTCATGATATCAGGTGGTAAAGCATTCCAGTTGACTATTGTTCTTGGGAAAAATGAATATTTATAGTAATCAGTTTTAGTTTGGACTTGTTGGAATGCATGGGGATGGGATGTTCTTCAACTTCTTGATGATCTTGTAAGAGGGACGATATATTTTGGGAAAGGGATAGCCACCTGGTCATGCAGTTTGTTGTGAAACATGACCAGGCGTTGGTCAATACGCCGAAGGTCAAGGCGCCTCCATTGAAGGGAAGTCAACATGTCAGTGACACTCGACATACAGCCAAAGTCATGTTTGACCCACCTAGCAGCCCTTCTCTGGACGGACTCTATCTGTTTACAGCAGTTTTTACGTACCCAAAACCAAATTTATCTGAATGGTTTACAATTTAACACAGCAATATCTAAAACTTGACAAATATTCATAGGAATTACTATATTTTTCTGAAGTTATTACATATAGGATAAACTGAGTGATAAACAGATAAAAGTTACCCATGTGAAATTTGTCAGTTTATTCCAGATTTGAAATCCTGTGCAAATACTACTGTATACTGTGTATAATTGCTTGCATTGAAGACCTATATAAAGGCAAAACGATGAAGCGTCTCCAACAAGATGATGACAAAAATGATGAAAAAAGATCAACAACTCTTGACAGTGATTCTAAATGTGACGCCTTTGTAACTTGGTCATCTAAAAATAACTTCCAAATGAATGACAAGGTATGTATTCGGCAATCTCCTGGAAACTGTTTTGATTTCTTCGGCCAAGCAAGCGTCTGTTTCAAGGACAAGTTGCTTGTATGGATCATAGTAATTTAAAACCGTTGAGGGCAGGGACCTTGTTTATTATTTCAAAACCCCAATGTTATATAATCACATTCACAGCCCATATTTTTATATAGTAATATATATGTAGCTACTATAAATATGGAATGAGCCTACTATAAATACTCCTGGTTTAGACCCTCGGTCTAATCTAGGATTATCCATGTCCATACATGCAGGCTACATAATTCTTTCAAATTGTGGGATTAGAAAAACAAACACTCAGTTTGGCATACTCTGTTCTATAGCTCTCAAAGCCGAAAAAGTCAAGTTTGACCCATTTAACAGACTGATTTTTCTGAAGTTCTGTCAAATCGAGAAAGACATAACCCACTCAAAATTATCTTGATGTTTCATTAACAAGTCTGGTTAGTTGGACTATATTAAATATAGCTATCTTTGGGCTGCTTACACATTTTCTCCTCTGATTAGTAAACAGTTCTATAATAATGAACATTACTCCCTCTTTGCATTGAACTTGAATATCGTATAGCCTGACAACATTTAAAAATTAAATTGGATGTTACTGTGCAGGGTAAGAAAGCTATGCAGCCAGACCAGGATCCTAGGTTTGTCTAACTAATTGTACTGCGCAGCAAGATTTTGTGCTATTTTCGTGTCTGGGCAATATCTCGCCTCTAAAATCGAGATTCTGACAGAGAACATAAATGTCTCAGAATCCGGCTTTGGCATGTCATTATATTATGACTAGATCCTTGGAATTCTGTTCTGAGTGAGGCTCTACTTATTGAGCTTTCCTGCTGTTTGAACATTTCCTTACCTAATAAGTGAACAGTTAACTGTTGGCATCTTTACTTTAAAGTACACATGCAATATTTTTTATGACAGTACAACCATAATGTAGGAATTTAAAAATTACACAAGCATCATGCAGCAGTGAAGCTGAATCTGTGCAATATATGGCCTTTAAGAGCATCATTGTGTAAATGGACCAATATAGTTTACAATAAATCAAATTGAATTAAATGAATTAGCACATAGCCTGCATTACAAACATTTCCAGAAGAGTATTTACTTTTCGAAGTCATTTGAGAGAATGACAACCTGGCATTTTTTTGTGCTTCATCATTATATATAAAACTTCTTTGTTCTTAATAGATTTCAGTAAGCCTGAGACATTTGCCAAAATGTAATTCAGTTACTGTTTATAAATAAAGTTTCAAGTGCTAAATTTGTGCATTCTCATTCACTTTAAACTGCATTACATAAAAAGTGGTTTAATTTCATAATTATATGACACAAGTAGTTTGGCAAATGTCTCAGGTATACTACTCATTCAGAATATCATTATCCCAGGTATGTACAAACATGATCATTGCAAAACAAATTGTATAATTTTTGTCTAGGTTTGTGTGAAGAGAGAAGGTTCATGTGCACAGTATGGTATGATGGCCACGAAAGACATACATGAAGGGGAAATCCTCTTTCAGATCCCTAGATCTGCCTGATCTCCTCCAGATACTTGTGCATTTCTAATTGCCTTAAAAAAGGTAATATTATATTTTCGGGTGCTAATCAATGTCCATATACAATCTTCCAACAATGACATGCATGTATATATTAGGAATACAGCCAAGCTAGTTTGTGTGACATTATTATACATTATAAAACATACATTTAAGTTTTTTGTCCAAAAGTTGAAAAATATAAATATCTTTATTTTAGTATACCACACATTGTATTGCCTTTAAAGTTGTTAAATGTTCATTTACATATTCTTAAATAATTTATCAATTGTATGTTCATATGGACATATTATTACTTTGGTTTTGTTCAGATTTTCCTACTCCTTTTTCACAGAAGGTATTGTAAATATGAGTGTCTGCTACTCTGCCGAACCTGTAACACTTTAAATAGGTTGCATAAAGTTGTATAAATTCTGTCTCTGTTACTTATTCTAATTTGAAAATCAATCAATTACAACTTTACACAATCATTTATTTTAGAAGCTGAGTGTATACAGGGTAGCAGTGCTTGGGTACCACTTCTTATTGCCTGATGTAAACGAGTATATAATCCTACCCACATTG